AATTGACCCTGACATTATACTAATAAACAGTCACGGTGAGACAGAAAACAACAACATAAAACTCTTTAACTATTATGTAAACCAAAGAAATAAATCGGGCGAGAAAAATGACGGAGTAGCGATAGCGGTTAAAAGAAACTTAAAATTTAAACTAATTGATGACTTCCAGGATGAATTTCTAGCAATAAAAATAAATACAACTCAAGGAGACGTAATTATTGCTACTACTTATCTGCCACCGAGACGACCCTACTTACCTATAGAAGACCTATTAAAATTGGCTAACAATAGTCATCCGATGTACATCTTAGGAGACTTTAACGCCAGACATAGGATTTTTGACAATACAAATAATAACGTCGTGGGAAACGCCCTTAATCAATTAATAAATTTAGGGAAAATCAATCATCTGGGTCCTAACTTTCCAACCTGGAGAAATCACAATACACAATCGACACCAGACAAAATTTTTACCAACAACAAAGCCTTTTTCAATTACCATATAATACAGGGACCTCTTACAGGCAGTGACCATCTGCCAATTATACTAACACTGTCAACAAGCCCCATACAGATACCAATAAAAAAGAGACTGAAAATGAGTAAAACAGACTGGGACAGCTTCAAAGACGACTTAAGTAATCACCACTCGATTAACCTACAAGGGAAAACAACAGAAGATATAGACTCAGAAATGGACAGACTGCACTCAGCAATAAAAACATCTATAACCAAACACACTCCTACTTCACACTTTAGAACATTACCCAACAACAGACTACCAGAAGAAGTTAAATTAATCCAGACCTATTACAATGAAATAAACAGGTATATGGAAAGACACGGCAGTAACAGATGGCTATATACGACACAGATAGCACTACAGATAAAATTAAGAGACGCATGTAAGGAAGCAAACAATAAAAAATGGAATGATATTATAATGGCGGCTGACATGACTAAAGACACAAAAACATTTTGGACTTCCATAAACAAGATGATGGGGCACAACAAGCAAAAAACACCATACATTAAAGACCAAAATGGAACAAAATTGCACGAGGAAAATGAACAAGAGTCAGCATTCAAAAGGGAATGGGTAAAAGTTTTTAAAATATCAGATGAGGAAAATGAAGATTTTGATAGTGAACACGAAGAAAGGATAGAAGAAGAAATGGGAAGACAAATACATAGAATCACCCCAAGGCAATATATAGACTATAACTTATTACCTAATAATCAAATAATAACCATGGGAGAAATGATGCACTGTCTGAGGAAATTTAAGGAAAAAGCCCCTGGGCTCACAGGTATTACACGAAATATGATCATGAATCTACCTGAAAACATTTTAAATACACTATTAAACATTTATAACGCATGCTTAATAACTGGTTACTTTCCAGACAAACTAAAATATGCTAAAATGATATTTATTCCTAAGGAGGGTAAGGACAATAAGGAAATATTAAACTACAGGCCAATATCTTTATTAGAAATTACCGGGAAACTATTGGAAAAAATATTAAATTCAAGACTTATAGCCTTTTTAACACAACATGGGAAAACTAACAACAGACAACATGGATTTATGCCCAATAGAAATACCCTAACTGCAATAGCTACAATAACGGAAATAATTGCAATAGAAAAAAGCAAGGGTAACCAGATCAATATAATTTTAAGGGATGTTTCTAAGGCTTTTGATAAAGTTTGGCATTTAGGCTTGAAATATAAAATATTAAAACTGGGACTTAACGAATACTTGCTAAGAATATTGTGTAACTATTTAGATGATAGGAGAGCACAAATTCAAATTGGAAACTTTTTGGGAACTATGTTTAATCTTGAGAGTGGAGTACCTCAAGGAGGATGCCTTTCTCCAACACTATATACAATTTATACTTCAGACACACCTCAACCTACCCCCTTTAGCGAATATGTAATGTTTGCTGATGATATTACTCAAATAGTATCATACCCAGGAAAATCAACTCAATTTATGGCACTCTACACGGTAAGAGCGATAAAAAACATAAATGATTTTGAGAAAAAATGGAAAATCAGGACAAATAAGAACAAATTCAAGATAATACCAATAGCCAAGATTAAAACAAGTCCAGTAATAGTCGACCAGGAACTATACCCATACGACACTGAAGGTAGGATGCTTGGATTAAAACTAACAAAAAGAGGATATATAACATACTTAAAAGATAAAGAACGACAGGCAAGAATAAGATTATCAAAAATAAAACGCTTTAAGAACCTTAGCATTAATAACAAAAGAAAGATTTATATTGCCCTTGTTAAATCAATTATGGACTACCCACCCATCCCATTGAACACCCTTAGTAAAACGTGCATTAAAAGGTTACAAACAGTACAAAATATAGCCCTCAGATTTATATATAACATAAAATATACAGACCACATCAATAATGAACAGCTACACAAGAGAGCAAACCTCTTAGCAATCAATGTAGATATACACAACAAAGCTGTAAATATTTGGAAAAAAGTGACTGAACTTAACACAGAAACATATCAAAACTGGATAAATAATATAGACAACGAAGAATTCCAAGAACACAGTTGGTTTAAATCAGCCAGGAAGAAAGTAATTGAACCATCTCCTGCCCCAATATACATATAAAACATTAATAGAGAGAATAAAAGATGAGAGTGACCTACCAGCTCCACAAGAACCTGGCAGGCCTCTCCATACAGCGTACCTTTAGACTAACATAACTAATATTTAACATTTAACATTTAACATTTAACATTGAACTAACATCTTAGTAAAAAAAAAAAAATAAATAAATAAAAATGTGACTACCCTCCCAGCTACACAAGGACCTGGGCGGGCTCACTAACTCAAAAAAAAATTAAATAAAAAATAAATAAAAAAATAAAAAAATATTAATAATATTAATAATAATAATGTGATTACCCTCCCAGCTATATCAGCCAGGAAGAAGTAATTGAACCACCTCCTGCCTCAACATACACATTTCTACATAAAACATTACTAGAGGAATAAAGATGAGAGTGACCAACCAGCTCCACTAAGAACCTGGCAGGCCTCTCCATACAGTGTACCTTTAGACTAACACAACTAACACTTAACTAACACCTCAAAAAAAAATAAAAAATAAAAATGTGACTACCCTCCCAGTTACACAAGGACCTGGGCGGGCTCACTAACTCCAACAATAACAAATAATAATAATAAGCAGCATTATATAAATAAACCAATATTAATACAAAGGTCTGACGACCCAAGGGAGCAGAACAAAGACAAAACGCCAATAAGAAAGATGAAGCGATCTGGTTGAGCCCAGATTCTTTCTACTCCTACTGTATTTCAGTTTCACCACTTTTCCTTCAACTCCTAATAATCTTCTTTCACCTCTTAACTAAAGACTTCGTATCGTATCGACCTACCTCTTTCTACCTACAGCCAGTCTTCAAGCAACACCTCCTCCTCCACTACTGCCTGGCGGCCCTTGCTCCAGCCGGTGACCATGGCGACCCACAAGCTGGTCCTCCTCTGGGCACCCTCACCAACCAGCTCTCTCTACATCACGCTTGTAACCACGCTGCCACTTCCCAGCACCAAGCTGCACTGTACATCCAATACAATATGTATACAGAGAGTACATTGTGAGTTTCCTTTCTCCATCCCATCCTGAGTGTGAACCAAATATCCCATACCCCACACCTTCTCAGTCATCAAATACATATGCATCTGCAAAAGATAAACAGAGAGCCCTACAGTTGAAAGAGTGGGGAGTTACACATTTGTAACTCCTCCTTCACTAGTGGTGTCTTTCCGGATAAACTGAAATTGCTAAAGTTCACCCAGCATATAAAAAATCTGGGGACAAAGGTCTCTTCAAGAATTACCGCCCACGAGCCCATAACTATGACAGGGAATGCTAACCGCTGGACCACCAGGATACTAAAAGCGGTCATGGGCTCGTGGGCCGTGGGTTCGAATCCTGGCGGGTTGAGGTGTTGATTGTATGTAGAAGTCCGCGTATTTATTGGGCTAATGAAATATATATGGATCCTCGTGTTTCGAAGCCGGATTTGGTAAAACGTTACTCTGACCACCTACGTGATACGGTAGTCCCCATTAGAGGTTCACGGCGCCATAAGCTCGTTGAACAGGCTTTGTGTGAAATATAACAGAGTCTAGGACTGCTTTTAGTATCCTGGTGGTCCAGCGGTTAGCGTTCCCCGGTCACAGTCATGGGCTCGTGGGCCGTGGGTTCGAATCCTGGCGTGTTGAGGTGTTGAGTGTATATATATATATATATATATATATATATATACTTTCCCTCACACTAGTTAGCATAGCATAACCAAACAGCCTCGCAAGGACCAATAGGTCTGTATATAATGTGTGTGCACCCGCTAAAATAACCTAGTACATTTTACTAATGTCTCATTGTTTGGCTGTGAGTTTTCTATTTTGTCTACCTGCCAGTTCAACAGGACTGCTAACTCATCCTGCATCACCGCACCGGTGACTGGTGAGTAGAACGGATTCCGTAAATATACAGGCTGTTTCATAAATACCATTCATTACGTAAGGGGGTGTTCCTGAGACATGAGAATATAATATAAAACATAATGCCTCGTACTGAGAACATGTGACATACTTAATGAGGGGAAACAAGCATTAGCTGACGAATTATGGGTTACCCACCAATTGCCCCATTAATAAAATTTTGTGGATATGTAACATGTGATAACACTATCTGAGACTGGACACGTTATTTAACAATCATCACGTTGCCTATTCCACTGATAATGACTGTTAGATCAATAAGGCTGTAAAGTAACAGTTTGACAACACTGTGTCATGTTTCGCTGTCATCCTTCACCCGCATAATGATGGTTACTCCATATCCTATAATATGTTGATTTTTCATTAATGAATGTATACAAAAGGCCCCATGCACTAATGCCTTATCCTTTTATTTTCACAGCTATGGAGGTTTAGCCACAACGTCATGTGAGGCCACCTCGGACGAGAGCTAATCGACCTGCGGTGATAACGAGTTGTGGCAGGATTATTGGATATCACGAGGCAGGGAAGTGGATACGGGAGATTAGTCGCCTTCTTGGTATCTCCAGGGATACAGTTAGGCTTTGGGTGAGAAGATATGAGGAAGAGGGTCACGTGCTCACCAGGCCCCGACCAGGAAGACCAAGAGTCACCACACCAGCGGCAGATCAACAGATTCAAAGGGCAGCAGAGCGAGCACCGCTGTCAACTGCCGTGCGTATAACGAGGGAAACAGGAGTTCAGTGTCACCCGATAACTACCAGGAGGCGAATACGGGAGACTGGCCGACAATGTTTCATCCCAGCACGTAAGGAAACCTTAACAGAGGCACACAGAGAAGCACGTTAAAGGTTTGCTGAGGCGTATGCGGGAGTCGATTTTTGGAGGTCCGTCATTTTCACGGATGAAAAATGTTTCTCATCTGTCGCAGCAGTTGGTCGCCAGTGTTGGCGATTACGTAATACAAGATATGCTCGCAGACACATCCATGAGACATCGACAAGCGGTCGTGTGACAACCTCCATGCATGGATGGATGTGGTGGGGAGGTGTTGGTGAACTGACGGACATTGAGGGACAGATGAATGCAGACCAGTATATAAATATTCTAGACATCCTTTCTACCATCGGTGCAAGCATATGCCATCCCAGACCCACAGCCTATATGTATGGTAAAAGATCGCAGTCCAATACATACAAGTCGGGTAGTCGGGCGTTGGTTTGAGGCGCACCCGCAGATTATTCTATTGGACTGGCCCCCTAAAGGAGCCAATTGTAATCCAATAGAAAATCCATGGGCTTATATGGTTATTGAATGGGATGTTGAGGAGAAAACGAGAGAGGCAGTGAGGAGACACGCACATAATGTGTGGGAGGGAATAAGGAGGAGGCCGAACATCTGCAGCAATCTGGTAGATTCCATGCCCACCAGATGGAGGTTGGACACGGTATTAACCTATGGGCACGAGGTGTCTCAGTGGTAGTAGCCTTGTCTCGGGATCCTGTGGTCAAGAATTACAGCTCCGACCACGACGGTGCCTTGTAGGGGGTGGCGGGGGATTTAGCTCTCTGGTGTAACCTCGTTGGGGCCACATAGACTTTGTTTCCTAACTCTTGGGAATTTGTCCAGGTATTTTACTATGTGGTTTTACGTCACTTCACACAATATGCTTACAAAATCTATGCATTAATTAATATGCATAACTCTTGGGAATCTGTTCAGACATTAAATATATGTTATATACTACAATAATCACATAGATATGTTTACAATGTTTATGCACAATAAATGTGAAGAATACTTTCGGGGTTTCAATTGACCAATAGTCATGCCTACAAAACAATCTTGATGCTCTAATAATAATAAAAGATATAGATGGGGTGTGGTGGAATCATTGTGGTCTGGCACCCACACACACAAGCGCTGTAAACTTTGTGTGGATTCACTGGGTGGTTTGGAAGTGTTTATTTCCATTCATACTTTCGTAACTACAACCTACTGTAATTTTTCTTCGTGTTCATATATAATGAAGATAATGCAGAGTATAAAATGCCATATTCAATATTTATACATAATGTCATCTATCCAGCCATACTATGACTGTGTGTTTGTGCGTGTGTTGCCTCGTGATAGTTAGAGTGGGCCCCCGTCCAGAAAGGACACTGTACTAACCTCCAGCACCGACCCAGGTGGGCTAGAGATTATGGTTTCCGAGTGTACTTTGCTTTAACAATTTTAATATTAACACCATAGTGCGAGCTGTACCCCGCTACACTTCTAAGAGGTCTCAGTCTGTCAGTACATTGGCAGGTTAGCTGTTGTATGGCAGGTAGGGTACAAGGGACGGAAACACTAAGATATTTAAAAGAAGAAACATAGTCAATAGTGTTGTTACCTATCTTGAACTTGGCGGGGCCGCGTTTGCGGTTACCAGCTTGTTTGTTGAACACCTTAGTTTTCTCAGTGGAGATAATAAGACCAAGGTTCTCACAGGCTGCGTAACATGGATCAGGGTGGTTTGCATTTCACGATGAGTTTTAGTATGTATAAGAACATCATCAGCATAGCTGATTGAGATATTGCTGGGGTTGTCTGGTATTAAATTTAATAATGCATTCATAAGAACATTGAACAAAGTAGGGCTAAATACTCCACCTTGAGGGGTACCAAGTTGCATATCTTTAACTTCACTTTTGTAACCCTGAAACAGTGCAGCAGCCCTTCTGTTGGTTAGGTAACCACTTATCCAGTGTAACAGCCTACCTCCTATATCCATTTTGGCTAGTTCGTACAATATCAGTTGCCTATTGGCAATATCAAATGCAGCTTTTAGGTCAAGAAGTTACCTTCAGAGTCCGATAGGCACCACGGACTCGAATGATCTTGGGTGGGTCTTTCTCAGCCACTCCAGTCTGCAATGACTGCATTCTTGCCCCTGAGTCGCTTCGTCCTTCTGATGTCGGGATGAGCTTCTAGTAGTGTAAAGGTCTGGTACTGGTCGAGCCCTATGATTAAGATGGTTTTCTTGCTCGATGATAAGGATAATTGTTCCATGGTGTTACGAACCCCTCCACCGATTGTCATGATCTACCTACCCAGCACTACGAACCATGCCATCTATTGTCTTGATCTACCTACCCAGCACCACGAGCAACGCCATCTAGGGACGAGACACGAGTATGACTCGTCTTAGTTGCCACTCCGGGGTTTCCCTTCTCCATATCCTGGTTGTTGCGTCACTTCCTCCAAGTCTTCTTTGTCAGCTCGAATTCGAGGAGAGAGCACTTGGCTCTGGGAAGTGACCACAGGATTATCTATCCTCTAAACCTGCGGCGCAGTGACTACCTACCGTCTTCTACAATACTCAGCCTTACTCGTCAGCCATCTCAGCTCCTCACTTAAGTATTTGTATCTTGTATTGCCTCCCCCGCGTCCACTTGCTTCAAGATTGTTTTATGTTTTATTATTATGTATATACTGTTAATGTTTAGGTTAAGTTTGGTTAAAGGGTAATTTATAAGCTGAATATTTTGTTAAGGGATTTATGGTACTTTATTATACACAACGAAAACTCGCATCCTTTGTCTACCCTTTTATAGTCCGATTGTCTTTGTTTTTTTTGTTGTTGTTACCTGTTGGGATCTGGGTAGACGTATAACTATATTCTAAATCCCCAACTCGTAACAAATGGCGACCGTGACATGATACGACCTTAAATACCATATTCCTTCCTCCCTTGTTACTCAGTGTTAATTATTCCTCCCAGTCACTTCTGTTCACAATTGCTTTACGGTGGTTTAAAGTTTCCTTCATATGTGTGTGCATATATTGGTATTATCGTACAGTAAGAGTGACAGCCGTAGGATATTAGGTTCCAAGTGTCATAAGGCTTACCTGTTATTACACGTGGCAGTCGTGTAGTAAGTCTTATCGAGTGTAGGGAAGAATCCGGATCTGTTTAATGCCGTACCCTCACTCCAGAGTAGGCTGTTCCATAGTCACTAGTTTAGGGTGAAGTGATATCTTGGGACGCCCCGCTCTACCAGGACCCCATAATTATAAAGCCTCCATTATTGTTCTTCTCATTATCTCATTCGGGGTCAATCATACCATTTCTCAGGGTTGTTAATCCGGATCTTTATATAAATGCCGTAATACGCCCTTCCTCTTTCAAGTATCTCAGGGTTGTTAATCCGGATCTTTATATAAAATGCCGTAATACGCCCTTCCTCTTTCAAGTATCTCAGGGTTGTTAATCCGGATCTTTATATTAATGCCGTAATACGCCCTTCCCCTTTCAAGTCTCTTATCCTTATCTAAGGATCTTCTCAGAAGAACAATATTCATAAGTGTAATTTCCCTAGGTATAACTTGGGTAGTTTCCGGGACTTTCTGGTTATCCACTGCCGTGATATTTTCTAGGGTAATCCACTTATCTTATCTTTTGACCATTAATTAATTTATCTAGGTTTTCTTAATGGCCACCCCAGGATTTGTTAAACTTGGTAGTCCTGGAGGAGTGGAAGAGCAAGATACCATTTCACATCTTGAAGCATGTGGAGGAGCGTGGAGAGGTTAATTTAGGACGTGCGGCTGAGCTGGCTGATGCGTACGCCTTGCTGGTGGAGTCACTGTGCCGTAGGGAACGTGGTACTTTCCGGCATGTTAGGTCCTCCTCTGATGATAACCTTGGGGACGTGAGTGGTAGGTCGAAAGGTCCCACACCTACCCCCCCTGATGCAACCAAGTTTTATTGTTCTTACTGTAAAAAACCAGGCCATACGATCCAGTCTTGTAAACACCCAAAGTGTCGAACTGCTAAAAGTAGTTCCCTGGATCCCAAATCCAAACCAATAGCAACCACCAATGTGGAAAGGCCCCATCAGGATCTCTTCTCTTCATTCACCTATGAGGGAAAAATTTTCAATCATAGAGGGGTCTCGTTCTTTCCCTATTCGTATACTACGTGATACGGGCGCAGCACAATCTATCCTCCTGTTTAACGTCATTCCTGATATATCTACCGCATTTACTAATGAGAGTGTTCTAATTTCAGATCTCTCATCCCATTCTTCCTATCCTTTAGCTAAAGTGCACCTCCAATGTCCCTTGATTACTGGGGAAGTGCAAATAGCCATTAGGAAAGACCCAATGCCTGTGTGCGGCATTCATTTATTATTGGGTAATGACTTGGTAGGAGATCTAGTGGTTCCCAACATAAAGACAGTCGACTCTCCCTTACCTGTCAACTCCACCACTGACCTTAAAGAAACTATTCCTCATCTTTTCCCATCTTGTGCTGTCACCCGGTCACAGAGTGTGCGAAATGGGCCCTCTTCATCTAAAACCACCTCTAATATCTTCCTACCCACAGAAGATCTGTACAATAAGACCATTAGTAAGGATGAGCTCGTTAAAGCCCAACAATCTGATCCATCTTTGAATAAACTTCATCATGCAGCAGTTGAGGGTA